AGCTGTAAGCAGCCAGGCAGCCAAACAAGAACCTCTATTTCTTCGCTTCCCACAGAGCAGGCTGCTTCCAGGCAGACCATGGAAAAATAGGTCCTGGGAGAAGAAAATGAAGTCTGCTGCAGTACCCTAAGCCTGCTGCCCCATTTCCAGGCTCCCCAGATCAGAGCGTGGGGATGTCCAAGCGCAGCTCTGACACCTCCAAGTTGTATAAAACAACTTCACTTGCCTACAGGCCAGAGAGGAGGATGGTTAGTGTGTAAGGCTACCAGGGCAAAGGGCTCCACCCTCCAGAGATGCTCACCACCGAGTGGGGTTCTCTGCAGTAACTGCGTCCATCACCCCGACGGGGTCGTGAGTCAAGCCCTCAGCACTGAGACACGTAACAAAAAGTGGAGTCCAAACTGCTCGCCTTGATCTCATCCCCAGTATGATAAGACCTGATGGCAGAGTGCTCAGGAACAGAAGAACTATTAACAAAAAAAAAAGCATGGCTTTCAGCTTTTCTGCCCTACAAACAAATCTTGTTTATGTAAAGCCTCGGGGAGGAACATGATAGCTTGACAAGATAAAACGCTGCAAGCGAGCTGATGTAAACCAGCCACAGAACAGAGAAACTTTGGGTACCTTGCAAAGAAAATATGTACTTTATGTTTTGGAAGCTTGAAAAGCAGATACAGTGGTTGTGGCGGTGGGGAAGAAAACAAGTGTTTGTGATTCAGGTTTTTTTCATCAAAACCAGCTGCCAAACCACCACCTTCCAAGTGCCTGTTTTTCACGCAAGATTTGCTTTGCTGCCTAGGTAAGCAGAACGTTTGCACACCACAGGTGACAGGGACCTCAGGTGTTTGATCACCTTTCTTTACCTTTCCCTACTAAAAGGAGGAAGACAGGGAATGGCAGGGCTGGTAGTCCTGGGGCCAGAGCTCCCCCTGTACCAGTGGGGTTTATGGTGTGGTTAATCGAGTCTCCCATCTGTATAATGACAGGTCGGATGCTACGTGCCCCGTTTACACAGACAAAACTACATCAGAGCATGCTCAGCATGTTACCAACACGTACCATGACAGCACAAACATCCAGAACAGTTGTGTACCACTGCAGAAAGGACCTAGGGTTCAAAAGGGGAATGAAGTGAGGGGATTCCATGGGGTAGAAATACATGCTTGGGATGCAGAAAGAATCAAGCGTCTCCAGGAAACTGGAGACAAATCTGGAAGGGAAGAGTCAAGTGAGTTTTCCCTGAAAACGCATAGCTTATGGGGCTCTCGGCCATAAAGCAGCAGTGAGGAAATGTGATTACAACATGTAATTTCGTGGTGTACCAGTACTTAAAAGAGGCAGAAACGTTTTGATTGTCAACACTGAGTGAAGTCCCCTTTCATAAAAACATTTCTCATTCACTGTCATTACATAAAAACACTGCAATGCTACCAAACAACGGGAAGCCTAGACAATGCTTGCATTTACACCTATATTGAGATAATGAAGCACTCCAGGTTACAAAGGTTATTGAACAATATACGTTTGGTCTGATGTGCTCACCTTCCCATCGTAGCGCTTCACTATGAACTGATCCAGCCCCAGATCTGAAAGAGAAAAGAAAGCTATTTTTAAAAAATGGTCTGGGAGCATAAAAGAAAGCATTTTTGGGGCTTTTGGTTCAATGGGGATTAGGAAGTAAAACAGTGTGAATACCATCACTGGGAAGTACAAGGTGAAAGAAACGTTTTAGTTCCTTGCACACTGCATTTTGATCACAAAAGACAAATTCAGAGCATCAGAAAAGAAAATCCTCATCTCGCAGGGACAACAGCAGCACAGCTGCCAGCACCTCTCTCAAGTCTGAAACACCCACCTCAAACAGGGAGATTCCTGCTGGTAACAGGTAAAGATTTTGCCCACGATGCCCCAAGTCAATGCACATTGGTAAAACTTTTGTTTTCAGTACCCTTTTTTCAGTGGTTCACAAATGGAAAAAACAGAATTGTTTGCATAATTGGGAATTCTTCATATAAATCCAAGCCTCGTTTGTATTTTCATATCAAATTGTTCATAAGCAGTCAGGTGAAGAGATGCAACTGTATTAGTGAGTGCTTTAGCTAGAAGGGTATTTTGGAGGGAGGTTATTTGTACTGGTAAATTCAATCTCATACCATCACAGAAGTATTTCTTCTTACCCCTATTAAGGGAAAAAAAGCATTTGTGGAGTTAAGGAGCAGAGCCCTCCATCTGATGAGCCATGCCCAGAAGGCTGCACATATACTGATGGATGCACAGATGAGCAAGAACACAAAAACACCAGAAAGATTAATTATTGGAGCTTTGCAAGACAAATTCAGCAAGATGCATCCTGAGAAGAGATTAAGCAGAACTCGAACCGAGCGCTTCCAGTAATTCAGGAGCACGAGGGCCAATTTTCAGTTCTCTGAAAATAAAACCCTGAGGAACAGCCACATCCCCTGCATTTTCTGCCACTGTTTATGATAATTATCGCTTGCTCGTTTCAATTTAAATTAGAAAAAAAGATGGAAAAACTAAATAAAACCTCTTCTATCTCATTCGGAGGAGCGGTGAGCAGCCTGCCGCATCACCTGCGTGTGGAGGAGGATAATAAAACACTTCTCATCTATTGAAAAGGTTCATAATGGGTACAGTGCAGAAAATGGAGTTGCTCATCACTCCAGGGTGACCTCCTCAACCTTTCTGAACCGAAGCAGCTAAAACTCGAGCCAGAAAGCACCTTCTCACCATTTTACGTGCCTGACAACAGCCAGAAAATCGCATATTCAAGCACTTTCTGAGTTTAATCTTCTTTTCTTTGGAAGAATTTTGTTCCTCCTCAAAGTTGTGTGCGTAAATGCAGGAGGATATATACTGTCACATTTCGAGGTAGATTTTGTTTAATACAATGTGCTTATACACATACACTAGATGTTGCCCTAAAACATATCCCTGGCAGGCCAGCGTTATATACATGCTCACAGAATGCTAAAAATAAAAAATAAAAATGACATAAGTTAAAGGACAAAACCAGAAGGTACATCTTAATGGCAAAACCCCTCAAACTGGGCACTATTAGGAACACAAACAGGTTTCAAAGATGACCCAAAATGAACGGATGTTCATGGGATGAACAGGAAGCAAAGATGAACGAGTGCTTTCTTTGATATATACACAAATCCGTATAGGATTTTGTATGTATGTATAGGAAGTTACTAAAAACAGCCAAATAACACCTAAAAAGCCCCAAAATGCAGCACAAAAACGTGTCACTTTTGCCGTCCTTTTCCACGTCGCTGTATCAGGGCACACTGGAAGACAGCATTACATACTGCCGGCACAGGGATGTCAGTTCACGTTGGTGTTTTATGCTCATCCTGACTCCCAGCTCTGCACAATATCCCTTCTCTGCTGCATTACCTAAGCTCCACACTTAAATTCACCCATAAAATTCCCCTTGCAATAGCTCCTGACCAAGTTAATATGAGAACTGTGAAATTAAGCCACAAAGGCACGGGTATGTTCAAGGCACACACTTTTACTGCACACACTTCCCCTTTTCTTTTTTTTTTTTTTTTTTTTTTTTTTACAGGTTTAGCTACGTGTTTTTCTGCAAGTCCTTAATCTTAGAAGTGAGCAACAGGAAACCAAACACGCCTGATACCTGTGTTCTTCCTTCTTTACATTACATACTAAAAAAGAGACTTTTCCTCTAAGACTTTAACAGCAGAAACTCAAGGTATGCATAAGGCTGGAAAGCCTCCCGGAAGAGGATTAAAGGATTTCTTCCAAGAGATGACAATGAAAGCCAGAAATTGTTTCGGGGAGTGCCTGTCATTAAACGTCCATGCTTCTGGAAGGCACAGGGTGCACCACAAAGGCTCCCAGTGGTAGAGGGAGCCTCTCCAGTTCAGCTCCAGTGCTCATTCTGGTGTGACGCACCGAAAACACCGGGAGCACCCGAGGCACGAGATGGGGAACAATTTTTTGGTATGAAGCCTTCAGCAAGCCATTCAGCCGAGGTAATGGACTCGAACTCTACAAAAAGAAATGAAACAGCTCCTTAGCACACTGTCTGAAACACACAGTATCGCTTGAACACGAGCCCAGTATGAACTCATTTTGCAGGCTGAGATTTCTCCTGCAAAGTCATCCCATGCCAAAGCCCAGACCACAGCCTCCCTCGGCGTGATCTCATTACAGCTCCTTCAGCCTCCTGAAGGAAACAGACCCAGAGCTCTGACCTATCCTGAAACGCAACGTTTATTTCCATCAAACACCACGCAACGCCTCGCCTTTCGCCACGCACCCAGATTATCAGCGCTCCTTTTGCTTACCCAGCCACAGGTTCTGCAGGAGCCTGAACGACTTGCGATGATTTCCAAATTCCCCTGCCGCAGCCCGCTTATTTGTGGTCTTTAAGTACCACTTTGTATTACTGCTACAACTCTGACAGTACCTAAAATACAACCAGGAGCTGCCACGGAGAAGCCAAAGACGTGGCATCACCATTAAGCGGTGCTTAGGTTAGATTGACACCCCTCCATCACCAATATTAGGAATACAGGACGCCACTCGTAGTCATTTGATGGCAGTTTCACAGCACTAAAAATAAAAATGTTTCCAAATAAATCCAAATGACTTACACTCACTGCCTGCCGGTCAATAGCAGAGCCGCACTGTGTGCTTGCTTCTTTCACTCGGAGGTGGGAGGGATGGTTCAGAGAAAAGAGAATAGATATAAAGGGAAAAAACACCGAACAACCTGCTGCTACCCTCGTTCAGCTCTATTAAAAACCTGAAGTCCAATGCTTGCTATATTTCTATTGATTAACGAAAATGCGCGTCCCACAGATGCACTCAAAGCTAACTAATTACCCTGCCTGCTAAATACCTACCAGTTCCTAAGCTCTTTGTGTTACCTCGGGAAGAAAGCTGTAGGCAGCAGTTTATAGATTGCAGGTCTAAGAATTATTTAACAAACGAGCTTCCAGGAGAACGATTAATGTTATGCCAAGGAAACAGTTCAGATGAATTAGAAACCATCATGATTTCCTCTGGGATGCCAACGATTTTCCACTGCGACGGAATAATCTTTCCAACTCCCTCCGGTCTTTCTACCTTTGTCAGATTTTCCACATTGTTGGGGTAAGATTTACTCGACTGCTTTTCTTTCCCCCTGGTTATTAGGGCACGGACTCTTTCCTGCAAGGAGATGAGCAAAAGGGCCAATTAAGAGGACCGAGGAGCCTGCTGGCCATGCATACCCAACATGCTGTGTTAGGGAAGGAGAAAATGCTGGACTGACTTTTCCCATCTGAAGCTGTAAGCCAGCTTTGTGTTTCATATGAGGGCCCAGAGATGATTCTGGCCTAAGAAGGATATTTCTGCAGCAAAAACAACAAGCACGCCGCTCTTGCAGAGTGCTGCTAGGAGCCAAGTGCCCCTGGCTGGAATCAAACCCCAGATAAATAACCGACCACAGCTGAGTGTAAGCGATGCTGAGGGACATTAGGGACATTGCTTGGCTTCCCGAGAGGGACAGCATAGAGAGCTGAGTTCCTCAAACTACTCAGCATCATGGCAATTCAGAAGCCACCTTGTGCTCAGCTGTTCTTTAAGTCCGGGTAGGAAAAACAAACCACTTAAAAACCTGGAATTAGGCTCCTCATTCCGAATAACACCTTTCCCCTCGCTCTGTGCACAACTTCAAAGAATTCTTCCTGTTCAGCCACCGAAGCTCTACCCTCCCCTATGCATCCACACTGAAGCACGAGATTTTTGCCATGTGCCAAACAAAACCAGACGTTTTTTTTTAAGTCCAGCACCAAGCATTTCACAACATGACCCTACGTACTCCAGTGCTACTATACCTGAAGAGCTGTTGCACGAAGCTGAAATCAAATGATTATTTTTTACACTTTGTTACATAAACCTACATGTATTTTCACAGATTGCACTCTCCAGAAATGTAAACCAGGGCCACACTCCTGCTCCTGAACAACGTGGCCTCTTCAATCGACTCCTTTGGAGAGATCCAGCCAGAAGACATCAGCTCCATCCGTCGCAGCTCCTCTCCTCCAGCACCTGCTCTGCACGCAGAGGTTGCAGGGCACAGCTGCTGCTTTTGGCACAGCTTTGACAGCGTGTTCTTGGTTTCTCGCAGGCAAAAAGAGAGAAACCTGCCAGGTTCTGCATTTCCAAGACTTCACATTTCTGAGCCACTGCAAAGCAGGGTGGGTCCTGAAAGATACCTTTCATGCAGCAGGAGTTTGGGTTAACTCAGGACGTTAACAAGGATGGATGAACAAAACCAGTTTGGGTGTAGCATCTCTTTGTTACAGTGTGCTGCTGTAAGACACAAAGCCTCTTTTTTTTTTTTTTCTTTTAATCCTTCTCACAAGGACCAAAACCTCCTGGTACCGGCTGGAACAAACACCAAGCAGGATGCTCACACAGCCTGGGAGCCAAGCCACCTCCCGAGAAGAAGAGAAGGTGGAAAGAAAGAAAAAAACAAACAGGACTGCAGGGAGCAGCTATCACTGCCCACGCTTTGGTGGCACTTGAACTTCAGAGACAGCACAACAACAACTTTTCTTCAAGCAGCTTCCCAGACAGATGCCATTCTTCTTTGGCCTGTTCTGGCAGACACTTCCCAGTTGGGCGGGAGCGTGTCAAGCACAGCTTCTCTGCTTGCCTGTGAGCAAATGGGAAGCCAAAGCCAGGGCAGAAAGTTTTCCTGAACTCTTAAGAGAAAGCAACCTATGCGAGCTAATGAGTTAGAATTCATTTTCCCCAAACAAAAAAGAGAATTTAAAATTGACACTTCGTTGACAATAAATCAAACTTTCCCATTACGTAATCCGTAGAAATTTGTCAGGTGTAAGACCTCTCTGTAGATCAGCAGTTTAAAACTTATGTGCAGCAGGCACTCAGAGGCACCGTGTTATTCCACGTGGCTTTTATTCCACGGTATTTGCCCTCGATAAAAACATCAGTGAGAAGGCCCTCGCTGACGAGTGTCAGCTTGTGCGCTGTGAGTCCTTTAAACCTGAACAGACGAACCCACATTTAAGGTCTACTGTAGGAAAACACTACGTAATACCTCTCGCAGAAAGCCTTGGGGTCAGTAGGGCTGCAGAGGAGTCAGTCTGCCAGTTTGAGCCTTAACCTGTGATCACAGCAGGCCATGCCACCACCCGACAGACTTCCAAGGAGCGCCCAGGGATGAAGGCGGGATGCTCCAGCCCCAGAGGAGGGCACACCCGAGTCGTGACTAAGGGAGAAAGCAGCCCCAGCACTTCCTCCATAACCTATGATCCAGATTTTCCTATGAGTCAAAAGTACAAAACGGATGTTAAGCACACAAATAAATCAGCCAGCAGGTAGCAGTCTTTGTCTTAATGTAATTTCTGGTTTTAAAGCTAGACCTATCTTCTTTTACTACCAGCTTTTAAAGCATTTGGGAACAAGGTTATGGCTGGTTTGACTTTACTGTAGCACTAAATGTTTTATTCTTTTGAGTTCATTACATGTTTAAAAATCACTTACCATGATTGGCATGATCTATAGTGCTTATAAGGAACACACAAGCTAGTTTTGTCTGCAAGCAAATCCACAACAGCAATGGTGGTCAGATTTTCAAGCCAACAAGCTGTAACACTGCCTACACCCAGCCAAGGCCCACCTGCCTTCCATCTCACTCCACTTTCCAAGAGTGATTCCATCAATCACGAAGGTAATTTCCCTTATAGGTTGCTGTGTGGCAGTGACTGGTAGCTTTTGCAGGCACTTAAAGGCCATGATGGGCTTCACAGGGCCATTTAAGCAGCTCACCTAGTCTGAACGATAGTTATGGGGGAAAGTTAGTTGCTTGTAGGACTGAAATTATTCACCTTTGCTTGTCACCGAATTAGACATTGCTGGGCACTCTTCCACATTCTCTGTGCACACTTTGAAAAGCACCAACTGCAGGTATTACACTGGTAGAAAAGGAGAATCAAATGGCTTAAAGTTAAGCATGGGATGGCTTTCTGTTTTTAAGCAGGCTGACAAAAAATAACTTACATGGGAAGCCTCACACTCAGCCAGGTGCTACTGCAAGTACTAACTCAAGGAGCTCCAGACGTGTAAAATAGTAATGCGTTTTCAGCATCTCTGAACATTGCCTTCTGGTCATTGCTCAAGCCACTCCATCGCTGAGGGTGAAACCAAGTAATTAATATGAAAAACTACTGCCATTTTCAGGACCTGAAGACATTAATATCAATTCACCAGCGTGTTTTAACACTAAGGTGATGATGGGATTATTCTTCCTTCCCTCCCGCACGCACACTTCACATGGTTGTTTTCTAAGTACAAGGGTACACAGTATTTATTCAGCAGCTGCCACAAGACATCAAACCGTTTCCTAGTTTGTATATAAACCCCGCTCTCAGAAGGTGGGCATTTGGGGGTTGAGGTTCCTCATTAATGCCTGCAGAGAGAGTTTTAGTTTGACAAAACGTGCTTTGTTCTTTGAGATACTTTGTGGGAGACTAATAAATCCAATCCCCTACACCTCACCCACAATACAAGTCTCCTCCAAAATAGAAGATATGCAAACCCCTCCCACCACCCTGCAAAACCCAGCCTCCCAAACGCTCAGGACAGGTTTTTCATCCTAGAAAAGCAGCATCTGCTCTCCAGCCTGTTGCCTCCCAGACCCATCCAGGTACCAGGACGGATGTGCTCCAGCACAGACATCAGGGAATTTGAAGCAGGCAGAGACGAGGCCCACCCTGGCCAGCAGCATCACGGCTCAGCTGGGCACATGAAGCTACCTGTACTCCTCTATTCCTCAATTTCCTTGGCAGAGCACCCTCCTTTTGTAGGTTTAGGAACGGTTCTTACTGTGTTTCACTTGAAAGGAATCTTGCTCTATTAAATATGCACGCTAGCTTCAGGAGGTGCTTTCTAAGCCCGAGCACTCCTGGGTTCAAAAATCCCAAGAACTCAGAGCAACACTTACAAACCTGAATTATCAACATTATTTGGCAGCATTGCAAGTCAACCACTTATAAACTTGCACGGACACATTGCAGGCTCTGCTGGAGAGATGAGTTTGGCTCGTACATCAGCAGCCTTCTGCCTTCCTCCTCTGTTCATTGCAGCTCCCTTGTCCTCTTGCACTTCATCCCATTGGCATAAAGCATGGGGTGAGAACACCACTTTTTATTGTGGCAGCAGCCCAGGCACTAACTGGAGAGCAACCCCCCAATTTGTGCTGTACGAGTCAACACAGAGACAGATGATACTCAACAACGTAACTGTTTGATGTGAAATTTGAGGATCGGGTAAAAAGAGACTGCAGTTTACTCCTCTTTGCTGGGTTAGTTTCTGCAATCAGCACACACATACGTCACTTACTTTCGGGTTGTTTTTCATTAGGTGTTATCGATCTCACGAAATCCTGTGGCGTCATGAAAACCTCAGACTCGCCGTGCTCATTTATCACTTTCAGAGTGGCGAAGTATCTGAAGATTTTGTCTGGCGTGGAGTAGGCTCTGATTCTGTTCTCGTACTCCATCACCTGGGAATCAAACGTAACCAGCATGAGATGTGCACGGTTTCACCCCAGACACCTAACCCAGTGTCACAGGATTACACTGCGAGCCTTCACTAGTGGTGAGTTTTGTCTCTCCTCTGCCACCATGAAGAGTCAAATGAAAAAGCCCTGAAGACACTTCCACGTATAACACCAAAAAGCACTAACATCAAATGGGTTAATCTAAAGCATCTCAGCACTTCTAACCAAATTCACTGTGTCGAACGGTCTGGTTCATGACTAATATGAATTGAAAGAAAAAAAAGTCATCAAGAGATGGGAAAGTCCTTCCCCTTCAAGCTGGGCCTTGGAGAAAATGACTTGGAGCCTCAGCTGGTTGCTCGGGCATTGAGCCTCTTCTGCCCTCTTTCCTATCACCTTGGCAAAACTGCAAAAGTGTTCGTTAGCCAGTCTTCTCCGTGCTAATTTGCCACTTGCTACCTCTGCCAGCAGTGATTTTGCACCTAGAACTATTTTCCCCAAAGCGTAGGACTAGAATTAATCAGAGAACAAAGCTTTTGTAATCAAAACCATGACCTAGGGGGAAAAAGGCACCAAGCCCTACACTTCATCATGCGTTAGAGCAGACGACTTCTCTTATTAGTTTAGCTCGGTGTTTCTGCATTATTACACGCCCTGTTTAACAGTCCATCTTGTTCTTGAAGCTTTCGGTACTCCTGGCCAAGAGCCACAAAATAAAACAACAAAAAAACAACAATCAGCTGGAAGAGACCAGGCAAGATCAAGGGTGCTGCCAAGGCATCTGTAAATAATTTACTCCTTTGGTCCTCTTTCAGCCTTGTCCTTTCACTTGAACAACTTCTCCACCCTGATGTTTATCGGGGAGAAAACACCCTCTCTATTTTTCATATTTCTAGGACAAAACGAGGCTTCTCATCCCTCCAAGGGACACAGAGCCTTCCTTCCCTACATGCGGTGCAGCTCCGCTCCCCAGCAGCCTGTGGCTGGGGGACGAGAAAGGTCCCACCTGCAGCCGCAGAGGTACTGATACGGCTTTGACATCATCTCACACTCCTCCTAACAACACCGTAGCTTTTTTTTCATACCGAAGCCCATCAGGACCACAGCAATACCCTTGCACCGACCCCTATGCCAGCTCCCTCTTTCCTCTTTTCTTCTTTTTTCACACGTTTTTGTCACCTCTTCCTCCTGTCCCCAGCCTTTGCCCCTACAAACCTAATCCTGTTTTTATTGCCCAAGTCCACAAGGTCCTCTAAGATATGGGGACTGAACAAAGACCACTTGGCAGCACGAGGTGGCTCCCAAAAGCAATAACTGAAGCAGCAGCTTGAGTAATTCAGTCTGGAAGAAAGAAGTCAGATCTAAACCACCTGTTCCAGCAGGCTGCTCTCATCGCAACCGAAATCACACTTTCCCAAACTTCCCAGGGAGATGAGCAAACACAGCAATCCGGCCTCCTTTTGCCCACAGCTGAACTCACAATTACCTCATTTCTGCTAACATCATCTTCCTAACTGGCAGAAATGAGCAACCACCCCACGACCTGTCCCTCTGACTTCAGCCCCGGGCTGAACACAAGGGCAGCTCGTGAAAGGGATGGCTGGGGCTCGCCGAGTGCTAACAGCTCGCCTGTTTCAGACCCAGTGCTAAGCACACCCCCATTTGGGAGATTTTGAAGCTAATTCTAACCAACCTTGATAAAACCATCCTGGGCAGCCCTCCTCCACAACCATCTTGCCTACAAGAGGCTCCAAGACACTTCCCTGGCCAAGCACCCTCTTGTTTTATTATTATTATTATTATTATTATTATTATGATGGCATTTCTTACAGAGCACGTGCTGGGGAAGGAAGATGAGCAAGGAATCCCTTTTGCCACACGAAGCTGATGCCACTGTTGCGTGGCACTGCTGCAGTCGTGTTGCTGCTAAGCTTTGTGTCAAGAGGAAAAAAATCCCATGCAGACATGAAAAAATAAAGCTCTAATTAGCATCTCAGTCCACAGCCTGACTGTACAAGAGAACGGGATCTCGGGCTGTCCTATACAAGGTCCTCTACAAGGACCTATACAAGCATGGGTCACAGCACGTGCCCCAGCCTCATCCATGCAGCACCCAGCACCAGTGATTTGTATTTCGGCTTCCTCTTGGCTGAATCACTGCCCAAAATAGCAACGTCACATCTAATTTATTGCCTCACCGCCGATCAACTGCACTTAAAAGCAACACTAGGATAACAAACAAGCGTTCAAATTAAGCTTAATTGGGAGTATTTGTCCTCAAGGAAAACCCCACGCCGTTTTCGGCTAGTAACAGGGAGATCTGGAAGGGGTTTTGCTGCGTCTTTTTCCTTTTTTTGGTAACAGAGAAGAGTCGGGAATTCCCTCGGTGCCACGCATGAACGGCAGGGGAAGCAGCACGCCCTTCTGAGTCAGGAGCCAGGGCACACCTTGCTCTGCAGCAGAGCAGAGAGCAAACATCCCTCCTGGGCTGAGTCACCAGGGCAGCTGCTGATTAAACACCACCCGCAAGGGATCTGCTGAAACCCAGAGCTCAGCACCTGGCAGGCCAGCGCTCACATCCTGCCTCTACGAAGCAGAAGCACGACCAGCACCTGGTTCAGAACAGCCACATTTGGCCTTAGGGCTGGAGAGAGGACAGGCTTCTGTCTGAAAAAGATGGGGAGATTTGTTTTCATCTGTGTTCTTCCTGCAGAAACTGCTGCTCCCGAGTCATGTAGGGACTGGAAGGGACCCTCCACGCCTGGCTCGTGTCTTATTTGGGAAGCACAGCCACATTCCTCCCCGCCTAGTATGGGAAGGAAAGAGCTGGTCAGCGCAGGCACGTCTCCTAACGACTGGAGTATGAGTCCTTGCTTGCAAACAAATGTTCCCTGGCTTCCCCAGCGACGGTGAGCAGCCACGTAGGACGAATCAATCATTATGCTCACTCTATTACCAAGTGCTCTTTCTGAAAAATGGAAGCGCGCAGGAAGGCGGATCGTATCTTTGCTCTTTGCAGCCTGCCTCCATCCATTGACGCTGAAAAAAACCCACAACAGGCTACTTCTGGCAAGAGTCAAAGTTTTGCTGAAGCTGTCAGACTGCCTGACACCCCTTTGCCAAGGAAATTATGAGAAGCTGAGAACTCACAGTTCCCTGGATGACTCTGAATTCTTAGTGTAGCAACTTGCAGCATAACTTCACTGAGTTGCCACCAGAATGTCCCAACAGGGAAAGTTCGTAGCCCCAGACAATGAAACTTGTGTGATCTAAGAACAGGATATGATTCAGCAACTTCAAACAAAACAGTTACTTTTTATGCAAAGCCGTTAAGCCACCCTACAACAATCCACAATTTAACACATAATGAGATGCAGCCTCCAGGATACTGGTCTTAAAAACAATCATCAGGAGCAAACCATAGAGGAAAAGAAGAGCACACGCTCCCATTCTCCTCTCTGGCACTGCAGAGATATTAAATCAAGCACAGCCCAATAAAACCAACGTCCAGACAGGTTTAAAAAAATAAAATCCTGTGGCCTGCCAACTCTGTTACAGGACTCTCCATCAGGCTGAATTGTACATCGTGTAATAACAGACAGCACTAAACGAGTTGTCGGGCACTTCTGAAGAGCCCAAAGCTCAAGAGTGAACACAGGTCACAAGCTGATGGTACAACTCCTTACTCAGGCTTCTCTCCTCTTGAAAACATGCCTGATCGGAACGTTAACTGGGCATGTATTTCAACAGCTGTAGTTACGTGGAGTAATTAAAGGAAAAATTGAAGCGTCTGTTTTGGAGAACCCTCCCTTCCACGCTTACCCTCTACTTCCTTCCTACACATGCTGCCTGCTTGCCTGTGAACACCTACACGTGGAGGGACTCGTAGAGAGAGAGGTGGGCATTTCAACTGCAGGTGGTCCCATCTCAGAGGACGTGTGTGCTGTGTTTCCCAAAAAGGCAGGCTTTGCCCCAAAGAAGCCCACGGTACCATGCCAAGAAAGCAGGTTCCCAAAATACCAAGGTCCCACGGAAAATTAAGACAGGTACAGACCACAAGCCAGGCTCAACACATGCTGTGCACGTTTTCTCCCTGCAGAACAGCAGCTGCAGGTGGAGCCCCACCAAGCCCCGCACCTTGCGGTCCCTGAAGCCCGACCGTTTCTTCTTCTTCCCCTCTGCCTGAGCCTCCTCGCTGCCCGAGGTGACGGCCTTTCCACCCTCATCGCCGCTGCTCTCCTCCTCCTCAGGGTGCTTCGCCTTCTCGCTCGGCTCCGTCCTCGTGTCGTGTTTCACTGAGGATGAGTCTTCGGCATAGGCTCTGTGGCAAGCAAAGAGAAAACAGCGGTTTAGGAAGCTGAGAGGGGTGATAAAGCTACAGAAACCTGCCTGGATCTCCCTTAATGAAACCTGTTACAGTTCAGTGTGGATGACTGCAGAGGGAAAAAAAAAAAAGCAATCTTCCTGGATTATTGAGTGCATTTCCCCACTCAGATCAGATTTCCCCCATGCACACTGAAAACCAGGCTAATAACCACAGCAACTTTTCTCTGTGCAAGAAAGTTTGAGCAATTCCCTCTACTGTACCCTCTCCCAAAAACCACACAGACTGAGATTGGGAAGGGGATTCAGTACTCCCTCCAGCTTTCAATTCCACTTTTCCCAACAAAAGACCTATATAAAAATGACAGAGAAGTGCATCCCACCACAGCACTGCAGGGTTCAAACACAACAGGCTCTTTGTTTCAGCAATTTTTTGGGAATTTCTAACAGGTGGCACACTTTTATTTCCCTATCTCCCCTCTTTTCCGGGACATCTCTAAATCCCAATG